GGGAAACTGCCACCGCCGGCGCCGTCGCCGGGTTCGCCACTGTCGCGGCGATGCATCCTCTAGACGTTGTCCGTACGAGATTTCAAGTCCACGATGGTCGAGGCTCCAATCTTCCAACTTACAAGAACACGGCTCACGCAATTTTCACTATTGCTCGATTGGAGGTATATATATATATATATATATATATATATATATCCTCGGCTCACCTTGTCAAAACCCACCTAAGGGTTTTTGTTGTTGATGATGATTTGGTTCACATTGCTTTGTCTTGCAGCGCTTGGGAGGACTCTATGCAGGCTTTTCTCCTGCTGTTCTTGGTTCCACTGTTTCATGGGGCTTATATTTCTTCTTGTAAGTAACAATGTATGGGATTTTAGAATATATGCCTTCAGCTCCAGTGTAAATTGAATTTTTTTACTTGATGAATATTCCTGCCACGCATGCCAATGGATTCTATCTTCGCAATGCAGTTGTAATTGGGTTTTTTTCATTTGGATTTTTGTGTTTTTTGTTTTTTCGTTCTTGTTTGCTGAAAGATGTTACGAATTAAACAAAATCTCTGTATTATGTAGCTATGGAAGAGCGAAACAAAGGTATTCTAAAAACAGGGATGAGCAGCTGAGCCCTGGTCTTCATCTCGCTTCTGCAGCAGAAGCTGGTGCTTTGGTGAGTATTCTGCAAACGTTGATTGAAAAGACATTAATGGAATTTTTTCCTTCTTCTGAAACTGCTATCTGATCCTGGTGGTCGGTTTTATTTGCATATGGCACACACATGATTCCCGAACTCTGCATCCTTAGGTATCCAATTTTTTGTACTTTGAAATCAAGACACTTGTTGAAACTTTTAACGAAAATATCTGGTTAGTTAAAAGAATCCTTGAATATACCAGACTCCCAGTTGGAGGTTAGCACCTTCCTGAATTTGATGCTATAAGAACATTGTTCCGAAGGTGGTCATTTTTGTCATTTGGCTTGGTGCAATGATTTACAAGTGTTCCGAGGAATATAACTCCATTTTCTGTTCCCTTCTAATATTTTTAGAAGGTAGGCAGGATTTTAGCACATGGTTACCTATAGATGATAGCAACCTTGTGATTTTGTCAGGTTTCTTTGTGCACAAATCCTATTTGGCTTGTAAAAACAAGATTGCAGCTTCAGACTCCTCTTCATCAAACTCAACCATATTCGGGGTTTTATGGTCTGCTCCATATCTTACTTTAACTTGATAGTGATGCCTGCAATTAGTTTTTTTCATGCTAAATATTACTTATTTGTTTATTTATTTAGTTTGTGCTGAAGATAAACTATCCCTGATGTAGACTTCTAGAATTTGACTCTTTTATAAGATTGGTTTGCTTGGCTATCAAGTAGTTCATAGAAGATAGGACAGGATTATAATTGTCATGAAGTTTGCTTTGCTTTAATTATATCTTTTTATCAGAAAGCCAATAAAGATATCAAGCATACATGTTCAGTCAACCCCAAACTTCACCACCATTACAAATACCAAACTAGAAAACTTCCTGGTTCCTGGGAGTTTGCAAAAGCTATCACTTAAATGCATTTGCTCAATCACCTTTGACATGTCTATTTCAGAGAATTTTTCTTCTATGTCCTTATGTTCATAACTTGTTTTTTCTTTTTATTTTTAATCATATTTCAGATGCCTTAAGAACTATAGTGAGAGAGGAAGGATGGGCTGCGCTTTATAAAGGTCTTCTTCCCAGTCTTTTTCTGGTATGTTGTTGTCTATGAGCTTTTTCTATGGCGGTCTGTCTTTGTTTTCTCGCATAGATGTACAGTATAATATTTAAAGATTAGAAAATAATGACTCTGTCTCTCTCCCTCTCTCTCTCTTTCTCTCTGTCTCTGTCTCTGTCTCTGTCTCTGTTTCTGTCTCTGTCTCTGTCTCTCTCTGTCTCTCTTATAATCATATGAAACAATCAATATGGGTATATCACTTTATCTACAACTAACAACAAAAATATTTGGTTCTCCTGAATCATTTATAAGAGTTGTACAGAGGATTTGGGGTTTACTGTGTTTTCTTCCCATGGACACTTAAGAGCCTCTGTGTACAGCTTCTAACCATCACTAAAAGAATACCGTGTTCATGCTTTGTGGTGTTATTTAAAGATTTTGGACACTTAGAGTTAATCCATGTAAAAGGACACTGAAGAAAATTGTGAAAAATTTGTAGTGGGAAAATATGGTGGGGGGTGTCTTACATATCTGATGATATACACTGCTGAGTGGCGAGATGGAAATGCTTCTCGAGATTATTTTGTACTTCTACACTTAATTACATTTGAAGATTATAAGTGCATTATAGTATACACATATATCACTCATGCCAAAAATCTGTTTAGTCCTTCATGCTTCACAACTTTGCAGCTTACAGATCTTCGTGTTGTTTCAGCAGGTATCTCATGGTGCTATTCAATTCACAGCATATGAAGAACTCCGTAAAGTAGTTGTTGATTTCAAGTCTAAAAAAAGCAGAAGGCATTCTGGAAGCGCTGATTCAGTGTTGGTATTTCTCTGTTCATGCAGTTAATGTTCTGTAGTAATGGACCTATTTTAATCCATAGATCTACTTGTTCTGGAATTCTTAATTTACATTCCCATTTCACATATAGTTCACTACAGAGGTCCCTTTTGGTAGTTGGTAAATTTATTCTCTAGTCAATTGTCTAGTATTTACTGCACCAAATGAAGAATCCCAGGTTGGTGCGGAAATGTGATTTGGTAATTGGTGTACAAATTTTTGTATATGTTCGTATGGGCTTGTAGATGTTTGGCAATAACATGAATCAGATTATAGTACGTCTCTTCTGCTCACAATGCCTGTTTTTGTTTTGTTCATGATTGAGGAAAACACATACATTCCTTGTGCCTGATCATCTACTACATATATGGGGTTCATAACACAGCATGTTAACTCTACCTAGTGGTGAGGTGTAGGATTATTATAGAAGCGCATATACTACATATTTTGCTAATGGGAATCCATCTTATCCATTCACTGTCATTTTAATTTCTTTTCTTCTACACTTACTTTCGTGGGGGAACTGTCATTTAGTTTTTTTGTCCACTTTATTTTACCTGAAGAATATGGAACCTTCGCTTTATTGAATTTACTTATTGGAGGATATCAAATTCATGAAGATGCATCTGGGAGAAGTCTAGGTGTTTACACAGCTACTATAATGTAGATCATCTTTTGTTGTATGGTAATCTACGTTTGTTGCTCTTTGGTTCCATCTGTTCAAGTTTAAGGGCGTGCAAATCAGGTCTTGGATTGAGCTCATTAGGCAAATTAACCACCCTGGTTAGAGGTCTTATTGTCTATTGTTTTTTGCACAGAATTCAGTTGACTATGCAGCTTTGGGGGCATCATCTAAAGTTGCTGCTATTCTTCTATCATATCCATTCCAGGCATGCATAAATATATATTTTTGGCTTTGGTGTAAAATTCTTCTAGATGTTCATTTCATTTGTAGATTATTACTTATGTGGTTGTGATGATTTTTTTCTTTCTTTTCTTTTTTCAGGTGATGCGATCTCGATTGCAGGTATATCCATAATGTTTTCTCTATATATGGTCTCAATATTTAGAAGTTTCCCCAGTCTGAAACAGTCCGAGCTTTTATTACTAAAACCCTTCAGCATAACTTTTGAAGTTGCCGTTTGTGATTCTACATGTTTTATGGATTTTGCTCGTATTCCTTATTAATGAGATTTTTCTCATTTTGTCAGCAACGACCTAGCAGTGAAGGAATTCCAAGATATATGGATAGCTGGCATGTGATAAGGGAAACTGTACGGTAAGTATGAAATTTAGCTTTCATATGATGCAAATATCTGGAAATAATTTCTTTATGCAAATCTCTATCTGATTCAATTGGTAATGAATGTTACAAGAGATCAGATAGCTAGATGGCCTTTCCTTCCATGATATATATCCCCTTCGATTTCTCTTTTTCTTTCTTGTCTTAGGATGCTAACCTTTCCTTCTTTGTTGGGGCTGTAGGTTTGAGGGCGTTAGAGGTTTCTACAAGGGAATCACCCCAAATCTTCTGAAAAATGTTCCTGCTGCTTCAATAACATTTATTGTATACGAAAATGTACTGAGATTTCTAAAATTTGCTAGAACGAATGAGTAAGGTCTTCTTTTGATCCTCAATTTTGAGCACTCGTTCTAGCTACAACGACATTATTTGAGGTTGGAAATGCGGTAATAAAATGTGTTGGAAGGTATATTCAACAAAGCATTTAAGTTGTGAAAAAGAGGAAATACAAAACTCATTCAGAGTGGAGGAAAGTCTTATTATGTCGAAAATTTGCGCAGGAAGGAAAGAATTTCGTCAGAGACTTCTTGAGCCTTCTCTTGTTGGATAAAATGGTGGCCATCTAGAATCACGACTTCCAGGTCTGGCACAAGACTCTTAAGAACAGTTCCTTTCACATATTCCCTTGTACCCACAATTTCAAAGCCAATGTCTTTGTCACCTACAATCAACTTTGATGGAACACTTATCTTTGATCCTTGCCATGGTCCCATGAGCTCCCAGTGCCTGTTTCCCATTTTCAAAATTAACAGATGTAAAAGATTAGCCAAGTTACATCAATAAAGCTCCTGAAAACAAGACAAATCAAATTGGGATTTTCTTAAAATTCAAAAGCCATTTGAATATTCTTTGCGGTTGACTTGTCAATTAAGCTTGCTAACAACCCACCCCAACACCAAACCAAACGGGGTAGAAAAATTTATGCAAGTAAACCATAAATTCTTCAAGGGTTGTTAGTTGGTGTGTCTACAGACTCTATACTTACAGCTCAATTGTACGAAAATAATTGAGGGCACCAGTGAAGCCAGATTCTTCAAACTTTTCAGCATAGACTTGGAGGTCCTCCTCAGAAATCCATGGCGGCAACACAGCTGGTGTCTCCAAATAATCAATGATCTCCATTCCAGGAGGAGCTACCAAATAATCTGTCTTGTTGTACAGCAAGAATTTCTTCATCACTGTCAAATAATCATATCTTGCAAACGACTTTTCTGCTCTTCCTGGTTCCTACCACCATACACAAATTACAAATACAATTACACAAACACATAACACGATTGCTAACTTGAAGAACATGTTCATGTCTTGACTAAAAAAGAACCTGAAACTGATAAACGTAACACCCGTCACTGAAAATTCGCCTCACAGATTCAGAATCCCTGGTGCTTGAAGATCTTTCAAAGTATGGAGCAGAAAGTGCAATCAGGGCCTTGACTCTGTCAGGCCTGAACAGGCTCAGATGCCAAGCTGCAACGGCTCCAAAGTCATGTCCCACTACAAATGCCTTTCAAATAAGAGAGACAAACAATCAAAACAGTCACTATAAAATAAAACACAGAAGAAGAAAACAGGAAAGAAAGAAAAAAACCTTTTGTTCACCAAAATGATCAAGAATGCCAACAAGGTCTCCAACAAGGTGTTGAATAGAGTAGGAGGTAGGACTCAGAGGAGAGTCAGTGTCACCATAGCCTCTCATATCAGGAGCAACAACATGGTAGCCATGCTTAGCCAAGTAACCAATCTGGTGGCGCCACGAATACCATATTTCGGGGAAGCCATGGAGGAGAAGCACAAGAGGCCCTGTCCCTTGCTCTGCTATGTGCATCCATATCCCATTTGTCTTGATCCTTTGGTGAGTCACCTCATTCATATTCTCTTCTCTCCAAGTCTCAGAAAATAAAATTAAAATAAAACCAACTGGTGTGCTTAATGGTGTGAATGGACTGGCTTTTTGTAGCTCAATTATATATGTGTAATTAATATGTGGAAAATGATTTGGCAACTCTCTGAATTTCAAACAGTCAAAGATGAGAACTTTGAAGCAGACCAAAGGTGAGAGACGTATCAAATGCTCCAAAGCTAGTTATGGTGCAGAAAGGTACAACTTTCTTGACCTGATTATTCGTCTTCTCAATTTCTTAGTTGTCATGTACTTGTTGTTGTTGACAATTCCCGTGGTTCCACAGGAAGCTAAATGTCAGTGCTTGACAGTCTCCTCTTGATCATTTTCCTGGAAACTACCATCTACCATTATTTTTATTTTCTTCTTCTTTTTTGGTGTATAAAATTGTTATAGTATATGGCTGCCGGCTTATATGGTTTTGTATGTTATTATTGCAACCCATCTTGTGTTATATCGTGGAAATGCGACATCGGCGTTTGGTCATAGAGTAAACTAATTGTAAAAACAAATTTGTGTAGGTGTAGAATTATCTTTCAAAAGTTTTTAGTATTTGAAGTACAAATTAACAGAAGGATTTGGTTGTATTGAACTGCAGCCAAGAAATATAAACTATTTGCTTTGTCTCAATCTATGAAGTTTTTGGTTTTCGTTACGGAACAAGGCCTAAACCCTTCCCCAAATCAACAAGGTTGAATGCAGCCACCTTACAGTTAACAAAATATTTGGTTATGTTCATGTCACTGATAAATTTAAAAAATTCCAAAACTTAATTTACAAATCCAGGTGGTAGTTAATTTGGCATGCCATGTGTAATTCCCCATATCTAAGAGGCCATCACATTAGGTTATAAACAGAATTTCTAAATGCCTTAAGAAGAAGAAAGAACAAACACAAAGCACAGAAAATCATCCAACCCTGATACAGAACAAAGAAAAGGATGGCTCTAGTTGAACCCCATATTGGTTCAATGTACCCCACAAACCATTTGGGATTTATTCAGAAGCACACTAAACAATTTCATTGATCTACAGGATGTTCACGCAGGAAGGAAAGTATTTGGCTGGAGACTTCTTGAGGGTTCTCTTGTTCGATGAAATGGTGGCCGCCTATAACAACCACTTCAAGGTTGGGTACAAGGCTCCTGAAATCATCACCTAGCACATATTCACTTCTTCCATCTGACTTAAAGCCGAAATCTTTGTCACCAATCATGAACTTCACAGGTACTGTAATTTTCAATCCTTGCCAGGGTGCAAGAAGCTCCCAACTCCTGTTTATCACAATCACTAGTATCAGTCAACAAAACAAAAGGACCAAAAGGTAATGCAGACCAACATGGGTGAGTTGGTCTGTTGTATTGGCCAAAGCCTGCACAGGTGAGCTGAATGCATTTTCCTTAATAAAAGGCTTTGCTTTCCTTTACCTTGTATTTTATTCTGCCCGAAGGCAGGGAAGAGACTTGGGATTCAATTTCATGTGTTATCAAAGTTAAGTGGGGTTATTATCCTTATCTTATATGTTAACAGAATAAAAGCTTGTGATTAATTAAGTATGTTAAAACTGGAACAGAATAAGTATCTTTGCCTATGATGGTTGTACCTAAGGCCTAGCTTGGAAAGAACATCTTTCCAGAAACGAAGAACAAAGTAAAGTTTCTGTACACTTACAGGTCCATTGCGCGATAGTAGTTAAAAGGACCAGTGAATCCAGATTCCTCAAATTTTTCAGCGAAGACCCGGATATCCTCTTCAGTTAGCCATGCTGGCAATGCTGATTTTGTGTCCAGGAAATCAATAAATTCCATGTCCGGAGGAGCTATCATGTTGTCGGTTATCAGCAAGAACTTCTTCATCACCGTTGTATAGTCATACCTTGCAAACGCTCTCTCTGCTCTTCCTGGTTCCTTCTCAGCCAAGAAACCATAATTAAAAGTGACTCACACATACACATATACATATGCATACAAGAATTGTGGAGAGAAATTAAGGAGGTACCTGGAATTGAATGACATGAGTTCCATCTCCATACAATTCTCTGATTGCTTCGGTAGATTTAGTTGTTGGAGATCTCGGAAAGTATGGAACAGATAGATTTACCAGCCCTATCACTCTATCAGGCCTAAACAAGCTCAAATGCCACCCAGCAACCGCTCCCCAATCATGCCCCACAACATATGCCTTCTCAAACCACAAAACATATAAGAATGTCAAAGAATCCTTAAACACCTCACTGAAACATAAATCATGACATGAACATGTTCATAAAAATTCATAAACAGAACAGTTTTATAAACTTCTTTTTTTTAATTGGGGTTGGAGAAAAGCTTCTCACCTTCTGTTGACCAAAATGGTCAAGTAAGCCGACGAGGTCTCCAACTATGTGGAAAATGGTGTAGGAGTTGGGGTTGAGAGGAGAATCAGAGTCACCATAGCCTCTCAAGTCAGGCGCCACCACATGGTAGCCATTCTCGGCCAAGTGGTTGATCTGGTGGCGCCAAGCGTACCAGAGTTCTGGGAAGCCATGAAGCAAGAGAACAAGAGGACCTGTTCCTTTTTCTGCTACATGCAGCCAAATTCCATTGGTTTTGATCCTCTGGTGATTTACTTCAATCATGTAATCCATGATCTCTGTACAAGTCCTCAGGTCTCAGAGAGAGAGAGTCTCTGTACAAGTCCTCAGGTCTCAGAGAGAGAGAGAGAGAGAGAGAGAGGTATGCTCAATGGCCGGCAGTGATGATTAAGGTGCTTTGTATATAATTTAATTAATGTACATTGAATTAAAAGGATGGCGTAGTTGGTGGATTTGAGGGCAATAATAGTCAAAGATGATAAACATCGTATTAGACTCTCGATCAAGGTGCCTTGTCTACCACTCGAAAACTTTAGTCAACAATTATTTTATATTTTATCTGTTAAAATATCAACCCAGCCCATCAATACTTAACCAAGCCCAAGATAAACAGCCCAGCTCAGCCCATTTTTAGGAGCAATAAGTCTTCAACTTTCTGTAAAACATTGTATTTCACTCAATATTACTCTTCATTTTCAATCTATGAACCATCCATCATTTACAACACTAGAATAAACATGAGATACATGTAGATCAATTTAGGAGAAAACAATAGTAGTGGCTGAAGTATAAAAGCCCAAGTCGGTGGATTGGCAAAGTAAGTCAGCAGCCATATTGAAGCTTTGAGAATTGTCTAGAGCATGCCACACACATGTGGCTAGGATTTATGGAGAAGCCAAAGTCGATGGAGAGCAAAGGTTAACTCTCCTATAAACAGGCATAAAGCCTTCAAATGTAACCAATCAAGAATCAAGAAGCAAGTCAAGAAGAAGAGTGACCGATGAGCTATAGAGCTAAGTAGTCCTTATGAGGAGTGTGAGTGAGTATTCTAGAGTTTGTTTTCAGAAAGTGAGAAAGAGTGCTTCTAAGAGTTGGTCTTTCCTTTAAGAGTTGCTTTATTGTAATATTTTGTGAGTCTAATACAAGTAATTTGATTACTTATTTTGTCTCCAATAATTCTATATTAGAGTTGTGTACTCTAGTTTTCTCAACATTATTATCATGAGGTTACTTTGCTTCTTGTACCCACCAATTGAAGTCAAATTTCAAGTTTTGAGCCAAAGTCTACAGACTGCATAACATTTTGGGAAGACTACAGTTATAGTGGTGCTAATTTGGAAGGGAGAATGAACACTTTAAACCACTGTTTCGTTACACTACATGGCCATACTCCACGCACAATAATTCTCTTTGCTTTATTTATCTCTGCATTTTTCCCCTATGTGGAACTTTTATGAGTTAGTCTTGCACATGAGACCAAAAACCTATTTCTTCTAAATAATAAAATTGTTACAGGGTTGGAAATTCAGCTAAGATTATATTCAACTCAAAATGAGCATCCGGCTAATTGCCTTACAACGTACCATCACAAGTTCGTCTTCTCTATCAGGCTGCAGCAACAAGACTTCATGTAATTAACCATGCTTTACAGACAAGTTGAATGTTCTTAATTAACCCCAGAAAAACACTCATTTAACAGACTTCGTAACTCCGGAAGACACACAAATTATTTTGCTTTGATTTCTATGTGCATACGAAGATTTAGAAGAGAGTTTAAGATTGTTTCTATCCCAAAACTTTCACATACTGTGGCTGGATTTTTAAATTTTTTTTATTTGGCTAAGGAATTTGACACATTGAACACCAAGGAAATTAATAAAGCAATACTGCAAAAAAAAAAATTATTAAAGTGAAAACAGTTTTCATCACCATCCAAAAAAGTGCCTCAATGGCTACTTGTAGAGTAACTCAACTAGGAAAAGTTCAAAATCTATCTCCAAACAAATACAATTATTTACTGCTCAGGGTTGGAAATTCAGCAGGATTTATCAAAAATTCCTTATTCGCAACCCTGGCCTGTCGCGAACAACTTTCTTCAAACCTACCATCAGAGTTATAGTTCCCCCAATCTTGCCGCCGTCTACGATCCTTCACTGGATTCCAGGAGCCGTCATTCCTGCTATTAAGCTGCTGTTGTGCAGGCTGCTGTGGCTGCTGTTGTGCAGGCTGATTGGGCTGCTGTTGTGCAGGCTGCGGTGGATGGCGGTATTGAGGCTGCTTGGTCTGCCGTTGTGCAGGCTGCTTGGTCTGCCATTGTGCAGGATGGCGGTATCGAGGCTGCTGGGGTTGCTGTTGTGCAGGCTGTGGTGGATGGCGGTATTGAGGCTGCTTGGTTTGCCGTTGTGCAGACTGCTCGGCCTTCTGTTGTGCAGACTGCTTGGTCTGCCATTGTGCAGGATGGTGGTCTTGAGGCTGCTCGAGATGCCGTTGTGCAGGCTGAGGGGGCTGTTCGACAGCGGTTTCTTGATTCTCACTCTTCTTCATATTCATCTTCTCATATTCTTTCAAAGTGTACGAAAGCGTAGGCTTGTTCTGAACAGGAGCAGTCACAGCAGCACCAGTAGTATCACCAACAGCTGCTGCATTTTCGCTGTGGCTTTTCTCCTCGTTCCTCTTCTTCTTCAGTTTTCTCCTCAGACTTCCATTGATATTTGACTTTTTCTTTCCATCAGAAGAACTCTTGCTGCTGCTTCCATTGACCCCATTACTCTGTAGTTGGGTTTTGTTCCCCTCTTCCTCACCACCTTGTTCTTCCCGTTTCTTCTCCGCAACAACTTCAGTCTCCTTCTTCTTCATCAACTCTTCAAAATCCTCTCTGCAAAAGCTCCCAAAAGATATCTCTGACAACACAATACTAGCAGCACTGGAGACAGATCTAGTATCATCAGCAGATTTCGGCGCAGCACGAAAATTCTGGGAATTGAAATCCCTTTGGCTGTTCTGGCCTCTTCTGTAAAACCCATTATTATTCTTTTGTCCTCCGAGTAATAAATGTTTTTGAATACTCAGCCTCAGCCGCTCCTTCTTCTCCTCCTCCTTCCTCTTCTCCGCCTCCTTCTTCCTCTTCTCCGCCGCCTCTATCGCCTCCTTCTTCCTCTTCTCCTCCTCCATCGCCTTCTTCTTCGCCGACTCTATCGCCTTCTTCTTCACCTCCAAAAACTCGGCCCTCTCATCAACCGCGCTGATGAGTTCCTTGACATCGATGTCTTCGGTCTCGCCCAGCAGGTCGAAAGAGTTGGCGAACTTGGCCATGATTAGAAGTGAGAACAGAGTGTTTCCTAGGGTTTCTGATTGATCAGAGAGAGAGAGAGAGAGAGAGACTAAGGGTTTCTGATGGATGCTATGATCAGCACAATGGAGAAGAAGGTTTGACCCTCTATATATATACAATTCTTGAGTCAGTTATCCTTGCTCGCCAAGTAAACCCCTAAATCGTTTCGTGCTCTCCAAGTTAGGAAGAAATCGGGAAAGAACCAAATAATTAGAAGATTTTGTTTCCTGTTTTTCTTATTGCATATTGCTTTTTTTTTTGGTTAGTTAAAAACTTTCTTCTTTTTTTTCAAGACTTAAAACTTTCTTCTTCTTTTTTAAAAGAAGACACATACATATGTAGATTCATAGGAAGGCTCATAATTTGAGTCGTTCCAAGCCTTCATTCAGTAGTAACATTTACGTTTATAGCTTTTTATTTCCAATTTTCAATTAAAGATGGTAAATTATTGAAACGAGAAGAAAATGTATATTCATAAAATTATACCTCATGGGGTAATAATTGTGTATATTAGTAGTTTTTTTTTATCTTCTGTACTCTCTCTCTCTCTCTCTCTCTCTCTCTCTCTCTCGGGGGTTAACTGCGTTATATCTTACGAGTTATATCTTACGAGTTTGTGTAATTTTTCGAAAAATATTTCTTTCGATACATGCCTGATAAATATATAATAATAATAATAATAATAATAATAAAAGCCTTGATCAATATTTACAAAGAAAAAATTAGATGGGCATGTGTTGATAGAAAAGGTTTCTTGCACGCGTGTTAGCGTCTTCTACTCAGCAGAGAGGCTAGCCTGTGCTGTGCCCTGTTGGAAAGGCTCGTGAGCTCGTGCAGCAGAGAACCACCCATGAAATTTTTATGCTGGTTCTGTGAAAACCAACTAATTTGTTAGGGTCGCAAATTTCATTTCTTTTAGCATGAATTTCATGTTGTAAGTGTATACTGTTACTATTGTGATAGCAAACCATAAATGTACAAGAACTAAAAATTTGTCTTCCTGCCATGAACATCAAGCTTACTTATTACATGCTTATTAGAAGGTTTTTGTGCGGTGTTGCTGTGCAAACCAAGCTTATTTAATTTCACTATTATATCCTTCCCCAGTTCAAATTATGTTAACAGAGACACCTTCAATATCTCCATCACACATTAGCAATTCCAAACAGCGAACAAAAGAATCCCTTTTTTGCTTTAGTTTATTGTAGTGATTACTGTCATAATAATACTTATGACATAAAAGATTTATGGTTCAGGGGAGAATGTTAACATCAAATTGGATTAATTTTCCAAATTTTATATAAGTTTGTGCAATATATCTTTGCTTAAAATCTTTCACCAAGCAAACAGAAATGGAGTCTACTTCATATTTCACTATTAATTCTAAGCGATTACTCAAAATATAAAACTATAAAATTAAATAAATAAAAATCTAAGGGGGCACAGCCCTTATGCATCCAAATTATTTGCATTAGAAAGCTACACAATCAAAGAAAGAAGATCCAAATTGTTTTCTGATGAGTAATTACCAATTTTCTATAAATAAAAAAAATTTCAAATAAAAAATTTGAAATCTAGTTAAACAATAGACACAAGAAGAAGATTATATCATCTGTGAAAAAGAGCGAGAGGAGGAGGAGAAGATTACTGGAGAGGAAGGAAGACAAGAGTTGAAATTCTTATTATTTTTATTTTTATTTTTGCAAATTGAAAGGGTTTGTTTGAGTAAAAAGACGAGCATGAGTGAGAGTTAGGATTATTAACTATATGTGCCGTTAGATTAATCTAAGGAATTTTATTAAAAATGACCTCACATGACCTCATTTTTAGGTCAGGAGATGCTCTCCAAAGGCACACTGTATGCAAATTGCACAAACAAATGAAAACATACAAAAATTTTGAACTCGACACGACAGTAATAGCATGGTATAACAATCAAGAAAACATACATGCCAACACCTACTTCTCTGAAGGGAGGCGGGAGTTACCTCTAGAAAAAGAAAACACAGGAGGAAGAAAGGTACTTAAATTATGAGCTTAAAGCAACTTCCTCTGACCTTAGTTTGTTCCTTAAAAATCAGTAGAAACACAAATTGTTCCCTTTGCTTTACAAGTACCGGGCATTGTCAATCTATAAAGAGTTATTGAGCAATTGGGACAAACCCCAGTTTCTTATAATGCTTTTTCTTTTGTCTTCGTCATCCTTTGAACAGAAAAGCCAACTACTCTAATTTCTTGAACTCATGACGGAAGACGGTGCATGGGTAATTACACTTTATCATCATGAAACCACCATCTCGTCTCCTTGGGAGATCTGCCATTTCTACAATTCTTTACATATCGGTCATTATCTTCAGGACGTTGCTGCAGGCATGGACAAAGTGCTTTAGATACATATCCCCTACATATTTCAATCTAGCATACCATTTAATTGCAAATGCCTTAAGGGGCATGCCAAATGTTTACAATATAATGATTGGTATTTTAGCAGAATAAATTGAAAGCATACCCTCATGCAATCAGTGTCAAAAATGTGACTGGACATGATATACTTCATAGTTTTTTTCTGTATATTAATGGAGAGGGGGAAAAGACTTGCTAGTTAAAAGATTTGAAAACACCAAGCTGCAGAAAAAAGTGGAACACAAACCTTCATGGTGGAGCTTGACAGCATGGAGAGAATGCTAATACAGATGGAACTAACAGTCATGGCTGGTGACCATGAATCGTACAAAATATCTACAAAATTCCATATCAACAGAAGAGCACATCAGGTGAGGCAGCAAGGGTAAAACTAAAAAATCATATTCTTTTAAATACAATGTAACTTAAACTTTAACTCATTGGATTCATAACGGATCAAGTTTCCTGGGAGATAAAGAATGTTTGATACACCACGAAGTCAGCAATGAAAAATGACAACTTAAGGCTGCTGTGATACTATACCATCTTTAATTTTAGTGTCTATATGATTAAAATCTCCATTACATAAAAATTAATCTGAACTAACAGACTAAACATATCCAAGCTGGCAGTGAACAACCAAACCTACAGCAAAAATCACCATTCAGCAGGATTTCCAAGGCTAGCCTTACTATGCAATATAAGTCACGAAAACAATTTCACAACCAAGTCAGTAGATATGGCTCCAAACAGTCTATCTACGCCCCCCTTCCCCCCCGCTTCTTCCTTCCCCACTTTGCAATAGTGTCCTCACAAGGCTTTCACAACAGCCAATAAAGGAGTAAAGTTTATTATTATCTCACAAAAAATTTGTTTCAGCTAACTAAATATTTTCAGCAAGAAATGTTTTGATAAGAAACTGAGGTTGAAGTGAAACATTGACTACATATTTTTCAAGTAATGATAAAAAACTTAGGTGTAAAAAAAAGCAACAAATGATGATTCAAGTCCATTATGAGGACAAGACTGTCACTTTTAACAAATGATGAATACCAAATCAAGAAAAAGAAAGAAAAAAAGAAATAATCCTCGTACCCAAGAAGAAAAAGGATCGACGATTTAACTATGTACAAATCACATATCAGTTATCACAAAACAGAGCAAATTTCAGTAACTTATGACATCAAAAGCTTAACTGAACCCATAAATTACCTAAACAGATATGACCGTTGCTATAAATATGAGGATGCAGTGGAGCCGGAGGGATAAATATAACCTGTTCATCCCACCACAAGGATTCAGACCAAAACAGGTTAAATCACCAGTTTTATGGAAATCAAAATCTACCCAACATAAAATGATTTGTAGATATATGTTCAAGCAAATGCATATCACACAAACTGATGGATTTGCACGAACCTGTGGGGCTTCCATTGGGTAATGCTCAGGGAAATCGACCTGAAGCTGATAGGTCTCATTAGAATAGAGAGTTCCAGGGGCTCCATTGACTTCAATCACCCACCTTTGCATCACAAATCCCACAGCACAATAATGAATTGAATTGAAGTAATTGAAGCAGAAAAGCATAAACATTGAAGAGCAAAAGTAGACATCATAAACCCCCAAAGAGTTCATTCCCCAAATAAAACTGTTAAGGAGGAAAAAAAGAAAGGAAATTTAAACAGAAAAGCGAAAACGGCAATAAGTGTGAGACGCATAAGTTATAAATTCTTATCCTCCTCTAATTCCGTTGAATTTTCTTTCTAGGCAAACAAACAGAAAGTAAAAAAAGAGAAGACCTTTGGAGATTATCGGTGACTTTGTGTTTGAAACCTGCCGGGGGATTGACCTGCCACTCCAGGAGCTCCTTCTGGAGCCGATTGCAAGCAATCTTACTCAAAGTCTGAAAATTCAAAAACGAACACAAAAGAAAAAACCCAAAATCAAAAACAAAAACAAAGAAACCCAATAAAAAATAAACCAAAAAACAGAAATTGCACAAGAAAGCGCTTCTGAGATTGTGCTGCTCGTGAAATTAGGGCAAACCTTGCGACCGGAGGCGGAGGAGCTGGTCATGCTTTTTCTCTAGAAAATGGCCGAGTGAGAGAGAGAGAGAGAGAGAGATATTAGAATGTGATGATGGTGGTGGTGTTGACGAGCGAGGCGAAAGGGACAAAGAGGGACCGGGCGGGCACGGTTTCACAACTCGTCTGTGTTCCCCACCATATCCGATTTTGTTTACTTATATTTTTTTTTTCTTATTGTTATCTCGCCAAGGTGGCTCTTCACAGTGACGAGGTTACTTTACGCGCCTCGCTAAACGACGTCGTAGCCTCCTTTTACCTACCAATCACATCGTCTCTCTCTTTTGTTTTTTTATTTTAGAGTTTTTCATTGGTAGTTGTAGGACTTTTCCCTCAAGTGTTTGGACACTTATTATGTTTTATATTGTTCAATTAAAATCCAAAAAAGAATTGTAATATGAGTTCATATTGCATGCAAACACTTTTTTTTTATAATACAATAGATAACTACTCTAATTTAGAGAAATAGAGCATTCGAACCTCATATTATAATCAACTGGTCTAACTCATGTCTCATATCATAATCAACTGGTCTAACTCACGTCTTTTTAAGCTATGAATCTTAATGGATTCAGTTTTGATTTAAATTTGTTCACTTGTAGATTGTTCCATTGTTGATTAGATTTGGGGAATTGGATCCTATTGTCACTACTTGAATTGATTCTCTTGGTTGGACCAATTGGCAATCATCTTTCATATTTTCAGCATATGCATTGGCCACTTCAAATGGGCATTTTGCTTTGAAAGAAAAGAAGGAAAAAAACAGAGACACTTAGGCGCACAGGCTATAGTTTTTTAGTTTGTGAGTTGAGCTCCACAAAGTGAAAGCCGAAAGGCAGTTAGTGATTCTCTCAGTATCTTTGAAGTAGGGTTCCACTTTCCACCCAACTTCATGCATATCCACGTTGTGCCAATTTGCCAAATATTCCTTTGAAACAAGCACTTCCACAAGCAGGTGGATAAGTTAAATAATTAGTAAGTGACTTTTCTTCAAAAATTTGATTCTTAAGACTATTGTTTTCTCTTCTTCTTTTACCAGAGAAAGAATGAGTGATTCGAACTTGATACCTCTTTCACCTTCGATACTTAAAACTATTGTTCTATAATCGAGTCTACGTGGTCGGCGGCTGGAGTAAAGGCCAAGTCAAACTCAAAAGCAGTGTTTCAATGTCCACAATAAGCAGTAGAAAGTAAAAAGTAAAGAAGAAAACCAAAGAATGCCTCATATTTTTTTAATTTGTGTCCATTTTCTTAGGTGGCTATGTCATTGCCTCCAGTTCACTTTACCTCTAGGTTATCAATATAAAGTTTGTATCTGGTGAGGCCAATTAGGATTTAGCATATTCCAGCCTTGATTAATGGAAATGTTGCAGGACAATTTGTCCATTGCAAAGTCTTTCATGCGCAATCTTCCAATGTTTGGTTTCATTATACGTTTGGGAAGGCAAGAGATTCTTTTCTTAAAATCCATTACAAGTAATCTTTTTTTATGAGTGATGATCAAATCGTGGTGTATACCATGGACCTTAAAGTTTTTTATTTTTTAATTAATTTTTAAAGTAAAAATTAAAATTAAAATTAAAAAATAATGTAGTGAATAAAGAACTAGATGCAAATAGACATTCCAATTTGATGGCCAAAAAAATTTAGATATTCCAATTTATCATTGACGATATTAGTAGACTGGATAATTCAAAGGTCAATGTTATGTAATGGTCAACTTTATTTTGCCAAAATCCCGTTTGTTTCCAGATGGAAGTGGAAAGTAGCAACAAAGCCAATGCCTTAACTCAAACGCCAAAAGATGTTATGTCAAAGCGTCAATGTTTAAGTGCATGCACTGTGTCTCATGGAATAGAACAAATCGTGGCCAATCCATTATTTAATCCCAAGCGGCAAGCCGGACATTTTCCGACCTCTTTGGCCGGATTTTGAACCCCGGGGCCGAAAACTATGACATCGGGTTGACGTCGACTTGAGCAAGCTGTGAAGTTGCAAGTTGTCACCTTCCAACAAAACCTCGACCGTGAAGATTAAAGAGTGACTATTTATAAACTCTTTGAAAAATATAGCATTTTCTAACTTTTATTTACATGAGATTCTTATAGAACATCTAAACCAGTGTTCAAGAAAATGTTTCCCATGATTATTTGTCATCTCCCAATTCCATGTTTTGGCTGGCGTCGGTCATTGGCCATTTTTGCTCTACGCATCTCAATCTCACAAACAAATGCGAGATCACTCTCTAGGAAACAGTCATGTTAAAATTAAGAATGGAAAGAATATTCACAAACTTTACTTCAGGGCTAAGAACTAAGAGTGCGGAAGAACTTTATACGGATTGAGTATCCCTTTGGGGTCCAGCATTTTCTTGATGGAAGCCATCAGGCTCACCTGTCCAAGCAGATTCTGTGTTTAGACATTTTATATAAAGAAACTGCAGAGTCTCAATGGGTAAGTAGAGAGAAGAGAACACCAAGCAGGTCACTCTCCATCTCATATTTCACATAACACTCACAGTAGCAGTTGGCTTGCTGTAGAAAATCTCATTAGCTTTCATCAGTCCAAGGCCGTGCTCTGCACTAATGCTCCCATGATGCTTAGATGTCCACTCGTAGACAAAGGGTTCGATTTGTGTCAAAATCTACAGATGCACTGAAGATATTAATTAAACTCCACCAAATAAAATGTACGAATAGCTCTATAATTAAGGAACAAGGAAATTACCCCATCATCATACTGTGCAGTTGAAATATTAAGATGCAAATTACCATCTCCAAGATGGCCATATCCAACTACATTAGCTGAATCACCTAAAGATTTAAACAATACAAAAAGTGTATACTCAAAATTACTATTAAAAAAATTATCTTCCACAATCCAAATAAATATAGATGTCGCAGGATCACATTGCACAAAAGAATAATAATAAAACTAAATAAAATCCCTAAACTGGTGTCATACTTGACAAGGGCACCATTGAAACAGTACCACCCTTTCAAGGGACTACCCGCAAGTGTATGTCCACACCCAAACCCACTCAACCCCTAAATTGGATAGGTATGGCCACTGCAGCAAGAAGCTAAAGAATATTTCAATTATTGTAAGCAATAAGAAGCATTTACTCACTGAGTCTAGTTCTCATTTCCTCAACAAGATCATACATCTTTTCAACAGGTAATGATAAATCGTATTTGTAAACAGCTCCTGCTTTCATCAATGCTTCTGGTATTCCCTGCCACCATATATATATGACCAATGCTTACGAAAAGACGTAAATATTTGCTTCTTCATGGATATCAAAAAGGGGATAATGATCATTGAAAATCTTAATGACCTGACGGCTGAAATTATTGCTACTCTTACTAAATGGTTATTAATGACAAGAAAACGATTGATAGGAATATATTAACAATCCTGCAGCTACATTTCCCGCCTGCCACCAATTTCTCAGACAGAAAAAGTCAAAATGGTTGAATAGTAAGAATAAGAATGCATAGAAACATAAGGAAAAAGTAATCATGAGATGAGAGAAAAAAGTGAATTTTTTTATCGTATATTGATCAACACTGATAATTGAGACCAAAGCAAGTAAAATACAGGTCCAGAAGCGAGAAAAAAGTGGTTTTCTCTAATGAAGATTAGTATCGCTTCCTGACTCATGGATGCAAAGCACCATATTGAATAATCATGAATATGAGAATTTAAAACCAAGGACGAGGCTTGGATTGAAGAGGAAAAGAAAAAAGAAAAAAGAGTACCTCACGTATATGCCAGAATGATGATGCTTGGTTTATGTCTTGTGCTAGAGCTCCGTCAGAAATCAAACCAGCTTCCATTGCATGAAGCAGGAAGCCCTCAAGCTTCTGTCTGTATCCAAATAACTCATGTGATTTTTATGATTATGAGCATGCCAATAATTGTTAACTAAAAAGCAAAGATACTGAATAACAATAGAGATTCTATTTCCAGTTATGTGTCAGTTTTCTTTAAACCCTAACTTGTTTCAAAATAAGGTGTTTAAAAGTAGAAATAAAAATGGAGATATCTTTGCAGGACCACAGGACCACCAAGAGGGGCCAATGAGGAACTAGACCTCAATGCTAAAGAAAATTAATTAAGCTAGGGTTAAAGCACTCTTATTCAAGCAGGTGAATAATTACAAGTGGAAAAGAGGTTACCTGTCGTAAGTTTCATCACTGCCTGTTGTCTCAATCAAAATATAAAATTTGTGCACTGTGGGAGGTAATGGGTTCCGAACACCATCTAAGTGATTTAGAACCTGCTATGTAAAATACAATGAGTAGGGTTCAAAATGAAACAGTGATAAGGCAGCAAGGCTATGTTAGGCAATATGCTATGCATCCATCCACTTCACTGCTACAAGTGCTAGCATATGATAATAGGACCATACTTGCATCGAAGTCGAAACAGAGACGGTGATATAGTTTGTTGTAACTACAGATGTTGAGCACACACTAAGTTCCTCAAAATTCAAAAAAAGCAAAAACAAAGAAAAACTATGAAACCTGAAAGCTTGATATGCACCAATAATGAAAATATCTAATCTGTCGCAGAAAGCTCACCAAATCCAATGACTTGCTATCCAAAAATTCAAAGGCAGATAGAATTTCCCCAAGTTTCCTCTTTGCTTCCATTAGAAGTTTCTGATAAACATTATAGAGTAAAGGTGAGGAACCACTTTTTTAAGCGGGAGAAATGAGCTAAAAAAGTGATGAACTTGTAAAATAATAATAACAACTGGATATCAATATCCGCATTCTACTGGGCTTAATTTAGCAGAACTTATGAAGAAGCGCGACAATTTCCTGTCAAAGAAACTATCTTACCTGGCAGCTAAAGTAATCGCTGCATGCAAGGAAAGCTACATTTACTGAAAATAACTTCGGAGGGGTAAGTATGGAAACCTTGGTTACAATTCCCAAAGATCCTTCACTGCCTACATTAGTGATAAACAAAAATTATACGATCACATCATCACTAAAAAATCATAGTCTTCTACACAGAAATAAAAAACAATTTAAGTGTTCAGTACATACCTATGAACAAATGCTTTAGGTCATACCCAGTATTATCTTTGCGTAAAGTCCCAAGCATGTCAATAACATTACCATC